TCATTTTTATTTCGTGAACAAAACAGTCATTTTTCTTCATTCATACGTGTGCTTTCTCTGAGCGGTCAATTTTATATCCAAACGTTTTTATAGCTTCATTTTAGCGTAGCTATTCAACTGATCGATTTATGATTTCAATGTATGCCTTGATATCATCTTTGAATTCAAAACTTGTAGTAGTTATTATCTTTCAAACAAAATTATCCTTGATTGTTTATTGTGCATAGTTTTTAAATTTCTGGTTGAAAAAAAACCAATTTCTAATTTCTATTGAAACACTTTAACATATATGCTACCCAGTAGTTATATAGTTATCCTGTGAAGTGTATGAATGTTATTCCATTTCTTCTGTTTGTATTAGGCATGGAGAAAATAAAAGTATCGGGGTAATGTTAACGATGCCAACTTTTGTCGATTTTAAGAATCCATTTTACTTGATTATGGCTTAATGTATCATACGGTTAGCGTTTCCTTGTAATTGCACATTTTTCCATGTCACGATAAGCTTTATCTCCTTCCTATTCAGTAATATAATTCTTCACTGAAACCATTTAACTAGTATTTGACCTTGTAATGCATGAGGTGGCTTAAATACTTGATTGCTTTGCCTTAAATCAACGCTTAATTATACTTAGTCACGTTTCAGTTTATTTAAAACAATCATGAATAAGATTCCTTATTAGAAATAGCATCATGACCTTGTGATACATTTACAATGCAAATAATCGCATATTGTAATTTTAAGACTATATTATATGACTTTAAAAAAATATTCGTTTGTCTTTCGTTGAGGATGTAATAAATCCTGAGAACTCACTTGACAGAGGTTCGAATTTCAGGTTTTATGCTTTTGCATATGGGCTGATCCGTTGACCTTGAGGTTACATGTCTTACCCAGAAAGTCTACGACTGTTATTGGTTGACGTCTTATTTTACCTCGCTATTTTTGTTGCTTTCTCAAGGACGTTTTTATCTTGCATAAATAAATTCGATTTATTTGCTTGTGGACCTCATATTTTCTGGATGCTGGTTGAATACACTTTCTACGCCATATTAAGGCTTGTTTCTGTACTTAGTGGAGCCTTGAGACGCTCGAATTAGAGTAGCTGATCGTGTCACTGGATCATTTGTTTTCGCTTTCCTTTACCGACTAAGGTGAACTCTTAATAGTATGAAGCATATCAATCAACGAGCATATCAGTCATGAGCACATTCTGTCTAACTCATTTCAACTTAAAATTCCAAAATATATTATTACAAACATCATATAAACGGGTCATAATTTTCGCTTTGATTTTGATCAAATATTTCCGTGAAGAAGATATAAATATCTGAAATTACGTCATCTTAATCAATATTTACGATTCAGTATTCATTCAACAAGGTAAAACTACCATTTCCGTTGTACTATAATTCAAAAATCTAGCTAGCTCTCTGAATAAATTCTCAGTGTTTTATTCAGAAGACGTAACCAGTAAAGTTGAACCCTGACAAGCGCAGGTGGTACCTACCGAAAACAAAACCCTTAGAATTGATCAGACTTAGACACTTACACCGTTGGATGACGGCTGGCGCAGTGGTGCAGAGGTTGAGCGTTCTATTCATGCAAGTAGCAGGAGTCAAGGACATGCACTACTGATGAGTCCCATACCGGGACGAAACGGCCGTCCAATGTTTCCAGATTTCCACTGGTTATCTTACAATGATTGATCGATGATTTCATTGTGCGAAAACACGAATCTTCCTAACTCTAATTTAAAATATGTATTTATTTAAAACGTCCCGTCATTGAATTTACTAACCATGAAAGAGCAAGTAAACCCCCAATATAGAGAGGGATCTATTTTGATCGAATGCACCAAAAGTTTTATATTTTTTTGTGGTTAATATATATTATTATTATTGTTACAACAAAACAAGTGAGCTATACACTGCATTGATGAAATATCAATTCACGGAGTTGCGCAACCTCATACACTTAGTCTCCAGTAGTAAGTGTCTATACGCGAACGCGTTGAACTTCACAGGTTAGACATTAACACCGTTAGATATCAGCTTAGGCGTCCAGAGGTTCGGCGTTCGCGCACAAGACCGAAATTCCTGGGTTCAAATCGTGAAAGGTGCAGGAGTCGTGGATGCGCACTGCTGATGAATACCATACAAGGATGAAACAGCCGTCCAGTACATCCAGGAGTCTTATGATGGATGGTCTAACATTGGTCGATTCATGATTTCAGATATTATCGCTATAATGAAACAAATGAGCTATGCTCTACATTGTTGAAAAATCTCTTTAACTGTCAATATTTTAGAAATGTTCATTCACATTCTGCTGGGAAAGAAACCATTGATATATTAAAATCTGAAGGTAAATTTATTTTTTGTTTAAATTAAATTATTGAAGCAAATTAATTGACGTGCGACTTTTTTGTTGTTGTTTTTAGCTAAAGTAATCCAATTTACCAAACATGTTGACTATGTCACTTTTCTAAGTGAATGTATGTTGTCTGACTGAGTACGATGCGGAAAATGTAGTAATGTCATACAGTCGACTTGAATCAATATGTTCTGTGATGTAAGCACACTTATTCGGATCATTTTTTATAAAGACGTAATCAAAAAAAACATTGTTTACACTTTTCAACTATGATTTTGTGCTTGTCAAAGTGACAATGAAACCACTTTCTGTCACACAAAATTCTTTGAAATCGAGAATTCAAGGTGATGATTATTTTGTTATTATAACTTAGAGATTTATTAAAATACTCCAGAAATTTTAAGGTTTCTTAATGAATGAAAAAGAAGCTGTCTCTTATTGTCAGATCGATTGAGACAACCTAAAAATGTTACAGGTCATAGTTACATGAAGGTTGAAATTTGTAGAATCAATCGAGTGGAAATTGATTTCATTGACCAGAAACAAATTTTAGTAACTGGCACTAGTGAAATTTAGTTTTCTGGCTCTGAAAACATTCTGATAAAAAAAAACATTTTCAGATTGGACATTGATCAAGCAGGTTTTCTCTTCTTGTTTAAATGAATAAGGTTGAATCTTGAATAGTGAGTAACTCAGTATTGGCGCTTTACTTTCTCAACTTGAATAAATGATTATTTGTAATTTTCTTTATTTCACGGAAGTTTTGTACAAAAAATAATGATTAAAAAAATATTTTGAATATATAAAGTAACTTTGTTGAATTTTCAAATATCTATTCCTATGTGAATGTTCAATGATGAAGATTCATTGCTTTTGTCTAGTGTCTAAATTATCATCATTTCTTTCAATAACATATGTTTGATTAGGGTAGATAATTCCCAGCAATAATTATGTAGTTTTTGCGAAGGATTCTTCATTTTAATCCAGTGAACATGAAAATATTTAGGCAAAATTCATAATTTTGAATATTGAAACTCACTCATACTCTGATGACATTTTTAAAAAATAAATGGCGTGATGGGAAAATTATATTCAACAGACCCGTGTTCTATAAACGGTTGCTCAATGATTATAAATATAGATAGTTTGTAAATAAATTCTGATTTCTTGAAATATGTATATAATCTGTTTAGTTTTGACTTGTTCTTCGTAAGTGACAATATTTATTATAAATAAATGTTCAGTGAAAACACGATTGAAAGTATTCGACTGATTGAAATATTTCTACAACTAGTAATTAAATCGATTGTACTTACTTACTTACTTACTTACTTAATTACTTGATTAATTACTTACTTATGCACTTACTTACTTACTTACTTACTTACTCACTTACTTACTATGCACTTACTTACTTAATTACACCTGTTACCCCCAATGGAGCATAGGCAACCGAACAGTTTTCTCCTACAAACTCTGTCCTGGGCTTGCCTTTCTAGTTCTTCCCGGTTTTTGTTCAATCTTCTCATGTCTTTCTCTATTTCTCGGCGTAATGTGTTCCTTGACCTTCCTCTTTTCCTTTGACCTTGAGGGTTCCATGTGGGGGCTTGTCTTGTGACGCATTTGGGTGCTTTTCGCGGTGTGTGTGTGTGGTACAATAGTTTAAATAATCAAATCAAATGAAAATAATTTCCTTCGAGATTTTATTGAAATATAAAATTGACGAATAGGAACACCAGCTGTTTCATTTAAGTGATTAAATTCCTTCATAAATTTGAGCAGAACAGAATACTCGGTCGCCGTGAAAAGAAAAGATTAATCTTACTTTCCTTCTGCTTACATAGGAAGTGTTTGACAACGATTACTTCTGCGAAACAGAGTAAAAAAGTTATTCTTTGCTTATATCTGCTACATACCCAACGTCGAATAGTTGTGAAGGCTTTTAAATTCCTTTCCGATAGAGGATTCTAAAAATGTATTCACAATATAAAAATAGAAATTGTTCTTTCTGTTCATTAAACGTAGAGTTGCTACTGCAGACGGACCTTGATTAATAGATGTAAATGAAGGTGATGTTGGCTGGCTATTGAACTATTTTTTGACCAGCTTTACGAATACTTGGTTCTCGATAGTAAAACAATAGTTGAACAACGGAGGAGCTTCTTTTCCGTGAAGTCGTGATATTTTTAAATACGTTCCTAATGAAATCCCATCCCATCTTCATCTGTACAGGCAATCAAAATACAAACTTTATCTGACTTGATCTATGTGTATAAAAGGAAAGTAGGACCAATCATTCTTTCTCAAAGTAAATGAGAGTATTTAAGCGAAGAGACAGCTGAATGTTTTGTTATCTAAGATAAAATTGTATCTCAATCAATGTTTTTCTAGTCAGATGTGTTGATGCATTCATTTACTTAAAATACTTTTTACTGTTTTCTTCTTGTTCGAAACATGCCCTGAACGTGAATGATCTCAGTGTTGGCATTGCGCTTTCAATAAATATTCATAATCTCATTTTATTAATCATTCATTAGTAAAATTGACAATTACTGTTATGTTGATTACTCTTTTTTCTCGCTACGCCAATAATACACAACATTGAGGAATGGCTAAAGTACAAATGCATGCTTTCGACGGTCGACCATCAGTTGCAATGATTGGTTTAAGTGAAGGTTATTACTTTTCAATACCATCTAGTTTATCAAGAAGTAAACAGGTAAAATTACACTGAATAATTATTGAATTGTTTTTTTTTCATTTCATACTGAATTTTCAAAATATTTTTATGTTTTGAATATCCCCCCTCTTACTCACTTATACTGTGATATACTTAGTGCATGTTATACAGCAATCCTGATTGATTACATGTTAAAAAAGGTTGTAAGCAGATGAAGAGAAGTGTATGACATAAAAATGAATAATTATTCATGTTATTCTACACAATTCTTCATTCTTGCTCTCTCTTTCAGTTAGTTAATCAAGGAGAAATAAATGAATGAAATTGCATTGCGGGGTTGTTGTGAAGATTGTTAAGTTTTATTTGTAACCATGAATCGATCAATGTTAGACCACAATTAGAGACCTGGAAGCGTTTGCGCACAATACCGAAGGTCCCGAATTTGAATCCTGCGGGGTGCAGGAGTCGTGGACGCGCACTGCCACTGATGAGTCCCATACCAGGACGAAACGGCCATCCAGTGCTTCCAGGTTTCTAATGGTAATCTTACAATGATTGATTGATTATTTCAAATGTGTAAAAACACAAACCCCCAAAACTCTTCTCGAAAATAAATATATATTTCAGAATGAAAATTTCACCGGTTGAAGAGAAGAATCATAGTTACATTTGAATCTGAATATGTCAGTAATTGTAGGTAGTAAATGGGTATATATAGGGCAAAAAATGTCACAGAATAATTTGAAGGATCATTTCGAAATGAATAAAATACCAATCGACTTATGCTAAATAATGATTGCAAACATTAATACTTTTATACTACTAGTATTAATAATAATAATCAATACTGTGAAACTTCATATCGTGTCTTTCTACTGATTACTTACTTTACTTCTTTACGCCTATTACCCCTAATGGAGCATACTCCGCCTACCAGTTTTCTCCAACCAACTCTGACCTGGGATTCCCTTCTCAGTTTTGTCCAATTTTCGTTCATTCTTCCCATAGTTTTCTCGATTTCTCGGCCTGATGTTTTCCTTGGCCTTCAATTCAAATCCAAAAGTAGAAGAGGTAGAAAATGTATTAGAAGTAATCGGAGAGGTTAGGATTAGAAGATATTATTCAAGAAGTATGATTCAGTGAGAAAAGTTTAGAAAGTCAAAACTAGAGGTGTTGAAGAACCCAGAAGATTAGGATTTGAAGAATAAAGAATAAATGCACCGGCGCCATTGTGAACGATTTCGAGCCATGTCATTCAAGGTCTCTAAACATCGATTATTATCATCTCGCGGACCCAAACCAGGTAGTCGACAATTACCGACATGGCTAAGTCCACTCGTCAATGACTTCATGGATTTCTGCCATGTTTTGGTTTGGCCGCCCCTAGCTTTCTTCCAACCTATTCCTACACTACAAAACGAAGCTCGTCGAGGCAGTCGGTGGTTAGGCATTCGTAACACATGTCCCAACCACCTCAACTGATGAATTTTCACTACTTCATCTATTGATTTGCCATTCTTACCTAGCACCCGTTTCCTAATAACAGCGTTGCTCACTCGGGTGTCCCAGGATATACGAACAATGCTTCGAAGACACCTATGATCGAAAACCAGTAACCTGCGAATATCTTCTACTCTCACTGGCCATATTTCACAGCCATATAGTAAGACGGGGCAAACTATTGCACAGTACACTCGTCCTTTAGTCAGTAAACGGATATCTCGCCTACGCCATAAGTGACGCAGGTTGGCAAAAGCCAATCGAGCCTTCTCTATCCGTGCTGAGATTTCGTCAGTCACCAGGCCATCAGCACTGATGAGACTCCCAAGATAAGTGAAGCGGTCTACACGTTCGACTACTTCACTCCCTATCACTAGTTCAGGTGCCGATGAAACCCAATCTTGAAGCAACATTTTGCATTTCGACGGGTGAGAACCGCATCTCGAACATGCTTGCATTGTTACTTGTGGTGGTCAGAAGACTGTGCATTTTGTCAGCGTCTTCACCAAGTGGGACTATGTCAACGGCATATTCTAAGTCAAAATATCACTAGACGTATGTATATAAATCAGTGTTTATCAATAAATCTATAGCCATTATCAGTAATATTGTGTTTCTGTGATGAAAGAATGACAAAGTTCGTATTCTGTACTTCAAGTATCTGTACAGGATAGCATTGCCATAAACTCATTTAATTGTATTACTGTACTATATATATATGAGACAGAGATGTGTTCTAGCTCCAGAAATGTACCACCTATCTGTTTGTAAATTCATGAAATATCAAAACCTTTTCACAAGTTAACAAAGCCACATTAGTTTATGATGAAATTTACAACTCAGTTGAATGATTGATATGTATCTTGAAAATAATGCACCATTTCAATCTTTTTTTTTTTATAGAAACAAGAATTAGTCAAAGCTTTACCATTGGATCATATTCTAGTGGAAACTGATGCACCTATTATGAATTCATCTTCAACACAAGTGGGTATTAATTTTTCTCTCTGAAGAATTGCTGTTTCATTGAATTATTGTCAAATATATATTTCATTAGAAAATGAGATTACTGAGGTCAATATTTTAGATATCATATTAGTTAGGCTGATTCTTTTGTGATTGTCACAAAATGACTCATCCTTTCTTCTTATAGACTAAGGCAATGAGTGACTGAGAACAGTCAGATGAGACTACGGCTAGTTCTAAATTAGTCTAACTGTTAAAACTGGACCACTATCCTTAAAAATTACAGGAGTGAACCTGTCAGGCCCTGTTGCTCTCCATCACTTCAGATTTCCTATAGCTTTTTCGAATTCATTAAGAGTCGGAGAACTTACATCAACTTGCCATTCAGGCTGACTGCGGATTGTGAGCAGCCGAAGTGTGGCTGCTTGTTATGGTGGAACAGTTGTCTACTATAACCTATCATCGCTTCTTTTTTCATCTCTCTTGAAGTCGCTACCCACAACTGTTCGCGATAATTGTGTAGATTTTCTGTTAGACTACGCTTAAGCTTACTTCGCTCTTTGTCATGTTGAGAGCCAGACAGAATGGGTTCCCGAGCATCTATCAGTTCGGTAGATACTATTATTATTATTATGATTATGATTACTGAAATCCATGGCTTCTCTCAAACCTGTTTTACGTAGCCAGAAGATATCACTGCTATTTTTGCGGCTTTTTGGATATCGTTCCACGCTATCTCGGGGTGACAATCAATAACATGTTTTTCTAGTTGCTTCTGAAATATATTCTTAGCTTCATTATCATTAGGTAGAGACTTATGTGTTTTACCAGCGGTGTCTGTTGTATGTCCGGTACGCGCTCGAGGTAGGGCGTGTTCTGAATCTAAACATGTGCCTAAGAGCGTGCGACAGTCTTATATCGAAACCCTCTATCGATGGCTGAATCGATACGATCTGGTTGGGTCCGAAATTTGATTGACTATGGGGTTGGCCAGGTCAAAAGACGTACATCCTTGTGATTAAAGTTAGTACTTGCTAGAAATAGGTTGTTTCTGAGCATAGCTGCAACATGCGGTCACCATTATCTGTTCGATCACATACTTATTTACTTACTTGTTTACTCTGCAATCGAGCATAGTCCACTGACCAGTATTTATCAGTCAACTGCTGACTGGACCTTCATTACCAGTTTTGCTAGATTGCTACTCATTTGTTTGATGCCTGCTTCCTATTGTTGGGTTGATTTGTCCCTTGGACTTTCTCCTATCCTTTGACCTTGGAAATTGAAAGTGATGGCTTTCCTTATCATGCGTCTAGGTGATTTCCACAGTGTACATCGTATCGGCCTCCGCCGCAGCCGGAATTCAGTTTGTTGTTTCTAACAGTAGGTTGTTACTGATGTTATGGGATCTACGAATACAATTGATTTTCCATAGACGACTGTAAATAATCACTTGCATCTTGTGGAGGATAGCTTTGGCTGTTTTCCGAGTTTAAGCTACAAATAACAGAAATGACAGGACTTTTGTGCTTAAAACTATAATCTTTGTACTGGTTTTTTGGAGTTGCGGACTTCCTTCATTTGTACAAACACCACCTATGCATTGCCGAATCCTAACTTCACGTCTACATAATATTCCCCGTGTTCATCAGTTATGCTCACCAGATGTTTAATGGTTTCTCCATCTTCAAACATTGACCGTCTAGTGTGCTATGGTTGTCGCATGTTTTTTGTGTTGTATCAGGCTGTATCAAAGCTTACCCTAAGATGGTGACAAATAGACAATGACAAGTTTTACTATTCGAAAGAATACTGGTAGCAATGGATGACCGTTTCTTCCAATCATCTGTCTGATCATTTGTGCGCATCCGCGACACCCGCACGCGAGGATCGAGTCCAAAAACTTCAGCCACTTAAATAACAGGCCACTGAGCCAGCCGGCGCCCATCACTGTTTATGAGTCAACTTATTCAAGCAAACAAGCTGTTTCGCATACTCACCAATCATCTTGAGTAGTTAACGGCCTGCACTTCGAAGAGTTCAACTCCACTGAATTGTCTTCACAATGAGACCTTATTTAAAAGAGTAAAACAATAAAAATACTGGATAGCTGAAAAGTCTTACTGTGAAACTCTTTTCCACCATAGAATACACAACGTTTAAGTCTCTCTTAGAGGGTAACAACAGCCAGTAAAAAAAAGCACATATGTAGACAACTATAAATGGGAAACATAGAATTTTAAATTATTACTTGTATCTTCTCCTACTTTGTTATATTTCAGAGTCGAAACGAACCAGATGAAGCAATCAAAGTTTGTGAACACATTGCAGAAATCAAGGGGATCGATGTTGAAACTGTTTGTCATATGACAACTGAGAATGCATTCAAACTCTATGGATCATTGAATGTAAAATGTTGAATATTCATTCATTTAAACTAATAAGACGATCGAAATATATAATATACTATGCAGCAAACTAAATGCCATTTCAACAAGACCAATTGTTTGTTCTATATGTGTTTTCTCAGTAAACTAACTATCCAATAATTCACTTACCGTTTAAAAATCTTGCAAACCGATCTCACAAAAATCAGAATTCATTTCGGTAGTCAAAAAACAAGTTGATGAAAAGTTACTGATAACGCATTTTTGTAAATAAACATCTAAGTAGTGCGTGATTACACGAAATATGTTTTAAAATACACATCTTTTTGACAGTAGTAGTTCAGTCAAACAGAAAGAACTGATTCTTTCACATGAGTTCCGAATAGACGAAGAATAGGATTTTATGGTTGCAATTAACCAAATTTTTTAGGCGTACCTATATCACCTCATAAAACACTATTGGATAACTGTAGTTCTACAGAACTTATACTGTAGTGCGCACTACTTATAAGTAGTATATGACGTGAGTGTAAACGTCATGTCCGGCAGCAGAAGATGGGGGAAAATCAAGAAAAGAAGAGTTGGGACACAATAGAATTTGTATGAAACGCATGAATAGTGAACTGTCAGACAATGGATTGATGATTGATTGAAGATTTGCAAATTAACCGTTTACGATATGGTTTTCCGATTTAACTGAGTAACTCTGTAATTTTCGTTAAAAACAATTCGGTTGCCCTCACCTGTGTTATCCTTCACTACAATACAACTAATTAATTGAAAAACATTCATTCACTAAGCTAATGCATTAGTCTGTTATTTCTAAAGCTTTAATATCTTCGACGATATGTTCCATACGAAATACCCTAACACTCGACTCCCTGGTCATACATCCTTTCTAGATCCCATCAAATTTTGTGCGTTGTAGAATAATGATAGCATTTAACTCGATGAGATGAACCTTTCTGAAGCTTGATACACTACTAATTCCGCACTAATCAAACAAATAATGATCAAACCTAATTTCCGAGTTCTCAAGTTGTAAAAACTTATTCTAACGTTACAAAATAACAATAAGCTGTTCTATTGGAAAAATTATATAAGAAATATTAATGAATTTCACGACAAAATTCAATATTTCGGTTATGACCAATGGAAGTCGAAGGTTTGTGTGAAATAGATATATCAAAGATAACTAAAAAAATGTGGGACATTTATGATAAAAGTTGATAATAATTTGAATATCTAAAATTTCTATCGTAGTTTGGAGAAAAACTAGTAGAGTATATGCAAACAATTATTAGTGCGTGACTAACAGGTCAGAAAATGATACCAATAGCGATCAGTCATTCTCATATCTTGATTAGTTAGTGGAAACGTTTTGCACTAAGTCATCAACATCACGCTGATCGACTACACATCAACACATTACTAATAGACGAACACTTTCATTATTGTCACATTTATTTCAGTCCTACTGTTGTGCACAAAAACCCAGGTGAGGACATCAACAATGTTTTTGCGAATGTTACAGAGTTGTTAGGCATATTTACAAAACTTTCCCGTGAATCATCATTTGCATACTAATCCTTATTTGTTTCAGATTTCAGTGTTCTTTCACATTTAGACTGTTCAGACTTCAGTTCATTTTACGTTACCTACAAATCGTCTTCTCTTCTCATTCTTTCCTTCTCGATCTTTTATTGTCAGACGTTTGATTTCCATTTGATATCATATACTACTAATGTGAACATAAGTAGCCTACACCACACTACTAGTGTGGTGCGAGCTACTTATAAGTAGTATATGACGTGAGTGTCAACGTAAAGTCTGGCAGCAGAAAATGGGCAAAGATCAAGAAAGGAAGAGTTAGAAAACAATGGAATTTGTATGAAACGCATGAATAGTGACAATGGATTGATGTTTTGCAACAGGAACAGTCCAGTTTGATTTGATCAACTGATATTTTGCAAATGAACGATTTACGATATGGTTTTCCTATTTTACTGAGTAACTCTGTAATTTTCGCTAAGTACAATCCGGTTGCCCCACCTGTGTTCTCCTTTACTACACTAGTATACATTATACAAATGTTGTATATCTCACATAACACGAAACTTATCCATCAGGAGGTGAAGCAGTTTGTCGTGCGAGACTAATGTCCCTTGGTTCGACTCCCGTATGTGTGGTTGGAGGATTCGAGTCACTGATTCTTACAAAACAGCTGTCCAGTGTTGGCAGATTTCTCTCTGATGATTACCTTTACGTTGATCAATTCGTGAATTCAATGAAATTAACAAATATCTCAATGATCTTATAATAAGAAGATACAAATATGTTTCAACAATGATTTGACTACAGATCTTTGAAAAAAATAATCTTATTATTCAATAATAATAATAGTAATAATTATAATAATAATAAGGTCAGTGTGAATATAAACCACTGGTGAATACACAGTAAAACTACTAAATTCAGACTTAAAACCCTGGATTGTATGCGTTGTTTACTTACTTACTAGCCGTTTGTTTGAAATACTTTTCAACAAACTTGATTGACGTCGATGCTTCTTTAAACCGCTTTAAATATTAACTTATTCTTTTCTATGGTTGCAACGTGTGTCCGCGTATATGATCACTACTGAAAAACAAATGATCAGTATTTTTAGTAGTGTGACCATTTTCATAAGCACGTTTTTTGTTTACAATCTCTGGTTTGCTTCTTTTTCGCATTCAATTCTAATTTGAATATGATTAGAACGATTTTCTTTCTCATAGACTAGCCGATTTCATTTCCAATAACAGTGTTGAGATGGTGGAGAAAATGTTTAGCTCAGATGGATGATTGTAGTTGGTGTTTCGTTCTTCTAATGTGAGTTGTCTCGATTGTTCAAAATAATTCTTCAGCGCGTATAGGAACCGTTGACATTTGAATGGTTTTATTATTTGTAACTGACGTTTTCAATTCATCATTCACCAGATTCGACTGCCCACTAAATCGTATGATTAAAAACTACGGTTTGAATTCGCTAGTGATTTAATAACATGTAAATGTATAAAATAACTCCGCCTGGAGCTCTTTCGAGGTTACTGCCCGGATGAAGTTGCCAAGTTGTGCATTGGGTTAGTGACTCCACACCGTAGAAGCACTAACGAGAAAAAAATAATACGCTGGTCAATGGCATATGCCTTTATACGGGTAACATGTGTTAGTTAAAGTATTTCCTAATCAAATGTAAAATATACAATGTTCTTAAATGAACGCATACACTAATGAATGTTTCAAATTGTTCCTTACACTAGTAATGATGTTTCGTAGTTTTCAAATGATAGATATTTGGTTGTGTGATAACTGACAAAGACCACACATGACTGTTAAAGCATACAGAACCTTATATAACAACTCTGGGATCATAATTACTTTACTTAATGTTTGATAGAATCCTGTTAAGGAAACTCGTGCTTGACTTTGTTCACAAATGTCAAACCTGAAAAAAACATTACTCGTTTGTTCTTGCGTACTTTATATATTCTGGCGAACGTGTTTATTGAGTTACGTAGCTAGAATTCCAAATCACGATAACTAATCAGCACGATCAGCCGTGTGACTTATTGTTTGTGTCTCAGGTCATAATGAGTTTCGAAGACTGATATGTACATCGATCTTCTAGAGGAGTGAGAAAAGATGGTCACGAACAGTGTAATAAATGACGCTTGTTTCATTCTTTTTGAAACTTGTCAGCTGAATAATGCCCTCCATTTACTTCAGAGTTGATATTCAGTCAGAATGCATCTACCGATATGGTACTAAACATCGATGAGACGTGTCAAACAATTGATGCGGATTAACAAATCTCCATTCTATATTGCACATGCCCACGATTAAATCGATTCAATGGCTAACTGCATATTACACGATAGTGGGTGTTTGGAGCGAATTGTATTAGGTTTTTGTTGGGGATGTTAGATCCCCAAAATTCGCTTGATAATGCCGTATTTTGGTTTTCACGTTTCGCCAGCATGGGCTGATCAGATGACCTTGAGATTTCAATTCCCACCAGGAAAATCCATGGCTGTGATTGGCTGCTGTGTATTTTTGTATGCTATTTTCTTAACTGTCTCAAGGAAGTTCTTATGTTGTATAAATAAACGAGAGTTGTATGCTTGATTGTACTGTGATTGCTGGGTGTTTGTAGAATATATTTTCTACGCTTACAAAGACTTTTCACTTCAGCCTTCGGTATTCAAGGTAGCCTCCCTGGAAGCTGGTAAAAGTCTCGTTCGCGTTTATCGACTAAGGTTAACTCGTAATAGCCTCAAGCATACTAAGTGACGAACTTATCAGTGGCGACGATGCTTTTGGAAATATGGATCCTGCCAAACTTGAATTATTACATGAGCAGCAGCTGAAACTGATGCAGATGTTGACAGACATGAAGATTTCCCCTTCCACACAGCCCAGCTCATCTAATGCAACCACAGCTCCATCGGTCGGCGGCATCGCAAATAGCATATCTGAATTTCCGTGGTGAACATTACACATCAGTTATTGATAATAATTTTAAATTATACCTTTTTGTTCTGAACTACTTAGTTTTTATCGTAAACACACAATAAATATATTGTAGTGAATGAGAACACAGGTGGGGGCAACCGAATTGTATTTAACGAAAATTACAGAGTTACTCAGTAAAATCGGAAAACCATATCGTAAATCGTTCATTTGCAAAAGATCAGTTCATCCTATGGAACTGGGCTGTTCCTGTTGCAAATCATCAATCCATTGTCACTATTCATGCGTTTCATACAAATTCCATTGTTTTCTAACTCTTCCTTTCTTGATCTTCCCCCCGTATTATGCTACCAGACTTTACGTTGACACTCACGTCATATACTACTTATAAGTAGTTCGCACCACAGCACCACAATATAATAAACCTAGCAGAAATTATACAAACTTTACTGAAATATTCAAACTGATTGAATGCCATTTATAACACACAAAGCATTATTTGATCATACAATCAAATACCA